AAGGAAATGTGCACGGCAATATCACAGCTGGAAGCTGGCGGAGCCGAAGCGGAACCAAACCCAGGTTAACTGGCAAGCCCTCTGCGCTATGACGACGTGCCAAAGTAGCAAGCATTGCCGGAGCGTCCAGAGCTGCAAATGCACGTTGCTCCACCTCCACTGTGCCAGAAGACGTAGTAGCACTGTGTTCCACTGCAGCGGAAGACGTAGCACGTTGTTCCGGCACGGCACCAGACGACGTAGTAAGCACTATTGCTCCACTGCACCAGAAAACGTAGGACGTCGGTCCAAGGCACCAGAAGACCTAGCACTACGCTCCTCTGCGGCAGTTGGGGCGACTGACAGCGGAGTCCAGGCCTGAAGCTCTAAGCCATCAGACCGCACCGACTGGACGCTGCGTGAGCGCGACCTACATCTCCTACGGGGCGGGGTCGACTCCATGCCTTGGAGCCAAACAAAACTGCGAGGAAAGGTGATTGCAGAGACGGTTTGACTGTGACAAGAAGCGAAGTCCGAGCGGCACCACTGGCGGAAGCGTTTGAAACTGCAACAACTTGAAAGAAGCTCAGCATTTCACAGTTGCCGAACGAGTCGCGACATTGCTCCCCACAAGTCAGGCTCTCCGTGCCGAAAGCAACTTGAGTACACATACTCCCAGATTCTGGTGTTCAACACGGGTGCATGCTTCTTCTTGGCACACACCTGTTTGGGCAGATGGCACTTCACCGTCCCCCAAAAGCGATCTAGCGGTTGCGTCCCGGCAACACATGAAATTCCAGGAGCGCCCTTGCGCCTACGGAAGATCTTGGCAAGCTGTAGCTGCCGGTGCACAACGTCTTCAAAAGGGATGCCTGCCTCTTGGCAGACACGCCGCCAAGCCTTGTTCCCGTCACTGAAGGCCTGCGTCTCACCACGGGCGAGCTTGCTGACCAAGTTGGAGTCGTAAACATCCTCCAGTGATTCGGTAGGTGGCCGAGCGCCCGGCACGACAAGCTTGGGAGGCAAGGGGACAACGAGAACGGGTCCGTCTTGCTGCAAAGCGCCAGCACATCTGATGTGCAATTGGAACACCTTTGGCACCGCACTTCGAGGGTGCTTGCGTTTCCACTCCTGCAGCATGGAAAGAAAACGAAAGCCGCAAAGAACCTTTAAAAAGTTTTCGAACGTCCCATAGAATTTAAAGACTCTATGTAATAAGAAACCGAAAGAGGCTTATAAAAGCTTGGCTTAGAAGTATAAATATGTAAGCCCTATAGGTCTAGAAGTAGAAGAAAGTAGAACAGAACAAGAAGCAACTCAGATTCTGAAGTTGTGGAAAAGTTGTCCTCCACCAGCGGCGCCCATCCTGCGTTGGTCGAGCTGACATGCACTTTTCGCGGAGCAGTGGCATCCAACTCCACATCGCCCTTCAAGCGGATCTTGTTGAGCAGTCGTCTGCCTTCGTTGGCTTCCAAGCGACGCAGCTCAGCATTCACCTGGAGAACCACACGGGCGTGCAAGCCATGCTGGTGTACAGCCTCGTAGAGCCGCGGAGCAGACTTGGACAAGTACTGCACAACCAAGGCCAGCAGCTTCTGTGGATTCACTGACACAGGACGACCAATGTTCTCCAGCACCGGACAGAAACGCAAAACATTGAAGCGTGCTCTGCACTCCCAGTCTTTGCAGCGCACATGCAGATGCCCAGGCTGCTGCACATCTTTGCGCGCAAAAGGACCTTCCAAAACACCGTAGTGGCAAGTCGGACAAGGATCTGGGATCTGCACGTAATGTAGGAACCTGATTAAGAAACCTTGGGCCTTTATTAGGGTTCCCTATAGTAATCCTACCATTTGGGGGGGTATAGGCCCAGGGTTTCTTAATCGGGTTCCTACATTAGCCCGCTTGAATCAGCTCCTGAAGAGCGGATTCAGGAGTCTGTCCGGTTGAACTGGGGCCACGCCAGTGACGATGTCCGCTAGAAGTACGGTCTGGCTTCTGGAAGAAGCCACTATACTGCTTCCTCCTCTGTGCAGGCTTGAGCCACTGCTTTTTCATCGGCGGCCCTCGTTTTCTGGACGCAGCAGCTCCCGTGCCCCGCAGCGCACGACCCTTGCGCTCACGCTTGGACGACCGCTCGGCCCGCAGCTTACGAAACGCAGAGGCGCCTGGCAAAGAACAAGTCTGCAGGTTGTGTCCACGGCGTCCGCAGAGCAAGCAACGTTTGCTCTGATTCGCTGGCATCTCCCCTGAAAGCCGGAAAGGCTGCAATGGATGAAGCTGACATGCATATCATCATCCCCCCCCAACCCCCCCATGCACATCATGACCGGACAGGCTGCAATTCATGAAGCTGACAATGCATATCATCACCCCCCCCCCCACCCCCCCACTTCTGCTTTGGAAGCAGGCAAGAACCCTGAAAAGCCTAAAAACATGCATTTGGCACGGGGCTGCGAGCGGTTGCGTGAGCAAAGACAAGATTAGCAGGCATTCTCTATTATTGCACCTCTGTTTTGCAGTGCGTGTTGGCTCTGCGAGCTTGGGATACTTCGTTTATTGGATGATGTGAACAGCGACAGCATCATAAGAGAGTCCTGGCCGCGTGTTTGTTTATCTGCCTGGTGCCAGCGTTAGGACAATCTTGGATACAGACGCCTCAGCAGCCATGTATCGTCCGCGTATGTCCATCCAAAAGATGATGTCTGGGAGCCAAGGAGCTTTGGCGACATCATTGGTACGAGCCAGCTACGGTGAACTGCCGTGAGTTAGTTTGCAATCGTTGGCACGTGTTATTTAGCTGTCAAGCCCGTCGGTTCCTTGCTTTTGAGGACAGGGTCTCGTGATGTTGGTGGAAGGAGAGGTATGTCATGATGCTGGCTACGAGTACAAGCAGCCAGAAGCCTCCTTGCGTGGGCGCGGAGTGGTGACTCTGCAGGTACAAAAATGCCAAGAAGTAAAGACCAGCTAGCAGACAACACTTCGCTGACACGCAAGCTGGCCGACTGCGGCTCAAGATGGTCCTTGGCCTGCAACCTGTTACGCGAAGCGAAAGTGCGGGGCATCGTTCCCAATCAGTTCAGTCTGGAGCCCAGGCTGCGCTTCGCGTGTGGTCTTTCATAGGGGAAGATGGACACGAGGCTACAACGCATGCAGCGGAAGCTGCCGCAAAGCAAACAGGTGGGCAAGGGCTCACCTGTTGCTGACGCAGTTTACGGAAGCTTTTTTGCGAACAGATACTTGCCTTTGTTTCAGCATGGGTGCAATCGTTGCCGTGTATTCCAAGCAGGCTCCAATCAATGCCTTCCTCCTGTCCCGCGTTCAGGATTTGACGACTTTCAGTGTGGTGGCCAGCGCTTGCGCAAGACGTGGGAATTGGCGCCAGGTGCCTATTCAGTTTTGCTGCTTCGGGCTTGGCTTTCGCACAGTTGCTGTGCAGGCCGCAGGGGTTTTGGCAGCTCAAATCTGTTGTGGTCTGCTGCCAGACAGAATCTCTCTGGCTGCCCGGCAAAGCACCAAGACTTTTCAAGACAGCCTACCTCAAGTTTATATTTGAACACTTCAACGATGCATGGAGGCTGCTGCCTCGGAGGGTGCCGAGTGGACCCGTGCAGTGTGTGTTTTCCAGCAAATGTCGCAGCTGCTGATATCACCAGATGTGACCAATGGCAACATTGCCATTTCTTCATGTGAGAAACTGGCGGCTTGGGTCGAGGGGCTCGTCCTGTTGCAGCATATGCGACAAGCTGGCACCAAAACGAACGAGATCACCTTCAACAGTGCTATCAGTACCTCCAGCCCGAGTCTCAGCTGGCATGTACGAATCCCTACTGCAGAAGTCATGGAACTCAGGAAGCTGGCGACATGCACAGGCGATGTTGATGAGTATGATAGATCAGCGAATTCCAGATCAGATTAGCTTCAACGCATGCCTCAGCACATATGCAGCAGCTGGACATTGGGTACTGAGTCTGCAGCTTCTGAACACAATGTCATGTTGCTGGTTTGCCACAGAGACTCGCCAGTCTACGACGAATTTGTTCGACTTGATACCATCTGTAGAGATTTTGACCGTCTGTTGGCTTTCAAACATGACGGAGCAGCCAGGATGCTTTCTCACGGAGCTCAGTCATCAGCGCCTGCAGAGATGAGTGGTATGTTGCCATCGGCGCTCTGGATGATGCAGGACTTGCTAGCATAGTCTGAGACTGGTCTGCCAATTTTGCGTTCGACGAAGACGGGGTGTCAGTGTTTAGCGCTGTTCCCGCATCAGTTTTATCCAATCCAAGGCTATAATGCAGCAGTCAGTGCATCAGCCCGCGCGCTTCAGTGGGAACGGGCCTTGGCATTGCTGTGCAGAGCACATTCACGGAGACTTCAGGCTGATTATCTCAGCTTCAGCTCTGCAATTACAGCTTGCCAGCGGCTTGCCAAGTGGCGTCCGGCGAGCGACCTATTTCAGACCATGAGAGACGCTGTCGTCGCAGCCGACAGCATCTGTTTCTATGCTGCAGCTCTCCTGCACATCACACCTGACTCAACGTAGTTATTCCCCCGCTATGTGCTGTGCGCGCACGCCTGATGTTTATTCCTCGTCTTACGCAAAGCACAAGTGCGCCAAGGTGTTGGCATCTTTCGCGAATCTGCACAAGTGGAAACACGTGATGCACTGCTTCAATGATATGAAACGATTCAGCCTGCAAGACGGCGTGGCCCGTGGCACAGTTTTGGGCAGCTACGCGAAGTGCGCGCAATGGCAACGGGTGTTGCATGCTGCTTCCAGCCGGCCAAACTTGCCTGACAACATCAAAGATGTTGCTGCAGGCTGTGCGATGGCCGAAGCATGTCAAGCGGGCCGGAGGTGGCTAACATCGCCCAGCGTTTTAGATGTTCTGGATTGCCTCGTTCGACAGAGCGTGCAGCGACTGAGGAGAAAGTGCAGCAGGCATTTTGCGGAGTAGCGGCCAGAAGTGGCAGCAATGCCAGCTATGTGTGGAAAGCATATCCTTGAGCCATGAGAGGCCTCCGAGTGGAGATTTGGATTGAGCTTGCTGGGTGTCATGGCTCAGGCCTTGCGTGCAAAAGCTTTGCCCTGATTCTGACGACAAGCCACGAGGTTCGGGTAATGCAGGACACAGTGACGTCGAACACACTGCTGGCCGTGCTGAGTGAGGCGTTGTCGCAGTGAAAGTGCAGATACGTGCGGGTGGAGTTGCTCTGACTTGGCACGCAGGCGGCTCGCTGGGAGCTTGCCTTCCAGTGTTTCCACAAGGATCTGCTGGTACCGGATGGCTTCAGTGCAACTGCTCTGGCAACTGGGCTCGCTGGTGCACGTCGATGGCAAGATGCGCTGGCCCTGATGTTCATGCCACTGGCCCCCATTTAGGTCTATCGCCGATTCTGTGACTAAACATCGTGCAGAAACCCCTCGCATGTTCGAGGCTCGGGCGGCTGAGAGTCGCTTCCAACGAGCTCGGTGCCAGAAGTGCCACCATCGCGGCGTGTGTCAGACAGTGGCACCTTGTTCTAGGTCCATCCAGAGTGCTTGCCATGTTGCTATTCGCAGTGTCAATCGAAGTGGTACTCGCGCCTTTAATATAGCACAGCAGGCTTGCTGTCTTGCCAATTGAATGTCGTCACGTACAACGCTGCGCTCTCTGCCTGCGCTGCAGCAGCTGCATGGCAAGCCACGATAAGCTTGCTTGAGGCACCCGCCAGGAATGCGGGAAGCCACTACATGTGGGGTAGAGTCTCAGGGCAATCAGGGGCATGTTGTACATGTGTCATTGGTTGTGGTACAATGTTCTGTGGTGCAGGTCATGAGACTTTTGCGGCTAGTCGCTGACATTATTTCACACACCGCAGTCCTGGACTCATGCGTATCTCCGTCTCTCTGGAGATCTGCACTGTGTCAGCGGAAGCTGATTCAGACGAGCAGGACGCTGGGCTGTGTTTATTCTTGTGCCTGTCCACATAGAGGGCCGTGTGCGCGACGCCTTGTTCTCCGTCCAGTTCTTCCGAGGCTTCGGCTCGACGGGCTGAGTCTCAGCGCTTGTGTCTCTGCCTGCGAGCTATCGGGTCAACAAGGACTTACACCCTAAGGCAGAGCTCGAGCCAAGCTTACAGCCTTTTGATGGCTGAGTGATGCTGATTGCGACAGAAGACGATCGAGCGTTGACATCCCTCGATTGTCGACAGCGTTCCTGCCGGGCAGCCACTGGAAATGAATGGGTGCATAATCGAAGAAGTGGTGGCGATGCTCGCTCTCAACGATTACGAGTGCTCCCAGCCTGAACTGCTCTACCGCGGCTGTGCAGCGGAGCGGTGAGGTTACAAGCGTGAGACTTCGGTCGCCTCTGGTTTGCCACTTTGGAGGAAGACAATCGGTTTGTCAGCAGTTCCTCAGCACTCAGTAACTCCGCTCCGTGCTCGTCCGACAACTGAAAACGACGCTGTGTGCCAGGGATGCCCACGTCTGCCCACACCAGTTTCACACCCTTCTCCTCGACGACATTGAGGTGTCCGGGGTCTGGAGATCGTGAGCTGAAGTCTCACGGGATGAGACCTGAGGTCAGCTTCAAGAGTCTAGAGTCTAGAGTCTGGGCGTTAATTGAATCAACCGCGCTCTGCGCTGTCTGAACCTAGACCAGGGTGCAGCCGCGGGTCGATGTCCGCCGTCACCATCTTACAGAAGCCATGCACGGCGAAGCGCTGACATCAATGCGGTGGATGGGAGCCGTGTGTGAGTAGCATGGTGGCATGGCTCCGACGACGTGCGCTGTGCTTGCATCCAGATGTGTGCAAACCCGGACATTCACTGGACACGGTGCATCGAGTTTAATCGTTTCCAGGCAGCTCAAGTTTTGTCAGTCTCGTAGAGACTCAGTGGGGTAAGCTGACTAAGTGGGTGAAGCCTCGCAACTGCCATGCCCTTGGTTACCGTGCTCACGGATGTCGATGCTGTCATTGCAGCCAAGAAGGAGGACCTTCGATAGCACAAGCATCTTGGAGCGTGTGCGAATATCTAAAAGATGCAGAATTTATTGATGCAGGTTACGGCCATGGTTCACAATGCTTGGGCCTTCGCTGAAACTGAAGAGCCCGAGGACGTCAAGCGAGATTGTGCCTGGTCTGGGAGTGCACACTGAGGCTGTGAAGACTGCCCTCGGCAAGCCAGACCAGTACATCACGGTTGCGCTAACCAAGGCAATGCTTTCCGTTGCCGCTTTGAACTTGGGCGAGCAAGATCTTCAGGCTGAGTGCGTCACGGTTGCAGGGCAGGAGGCGTCGGTGGTCCGTTTCTCAAGCAGGATCTGTTTGGCTTGGTAATATCTGGAGTACAACAGGTTGTGCCCAGCAATGCCAAGGTTGTCGAAGTCGACTCCATTGGCGGTGATTTTGGCGCAGTCATCGCGACTATCGCCGACGGCTTGAAGGCGCTCTCTTTGCTGGGTCGATCAGGCCAGTGGTCAAACCGATGGTGAGTGAATCAGGCGCATGGTGTCGAACCCTCCAAGGCAAATTCTGCAAGCACCGTGGCAGTCACATTGCCAGTTATCAGTCCATTTCCAGGTTACCGGCACTTTCCGGGGCGTTTCCTTCAAGGACCCTTCGTGCATCTCGTATCGCAGATCTGTTTCGCTGTGCGTTGTCAAGGAGTTTGCGATGAATGGTCGGCCTCTGGGCTGAGGTGTCACAAACTCAGACTCGGCTCAGACCACAAGTGCCAACTGCTGGAGGCTTCCAGCGTAGGAGGGTGCAGGACTTTCTCTAGCGCAGCCCGTGCTTCTTCGTAGACGTGTCTGTGCCTCTGCGCGGAACTCAGCAGAAGTGCCTGGGCCTGTGTGCCTGGGCAGTCTGACAAGAAGATGATGGAAAAGGCCGTGCATCGAGGCATCTCTTATATCCTTTAAAGCCTTGGCAGCTTCCCACGTGGTCTGATGGCTTGGCGACTGCAGGAGTCCTAATCCCAGTCCTAAACGCCACATGGCTCACAGCCCTACACAACGTGGTGTGATTCCAGTTGGACTGCGCCACTACGACGCGATGCATGCAGTGAACAGATGCATGCTTTTGTCGCCCAGAACGCTGAGCAGTGTAAAATGCATCCTTGTTAGGAAAGGAGGTACGAAGTGTCGTTACAAAGCAATGGAGCCTTGCTAGCGCACGAGCTGTTTCGCCTGAGCATGCATGTCGGCGATGAGCAGCAAGGCGAATGGAGGCCGAGGGCAGTCAGCACTCAACACTTTCCTGGTCCACACGTGATCTCTGACTCCTGGAAGGACCAACTTCCTCCGCTTGTCGGAGATGCCCTGGATGTGCGACTGCTGCAGGCGCGCGCAACGCAAGGACCTGTGTTGCTAAGTTCTCTCCTGCTGAGCTTTTCGAGCAAGCCTTGGCCTTGGCCCTGGGCTTGAAGTTGTGACCTGCGCAGACGTGGGCTGCGCAAGAAGAGCAGGTGGCCGAGGAGGTGTGGACACAGTAGCCGTCTTTGGCTGAATGCTTCTGCCGGAGATGTGAAATGTTGAGGTCAAGCGCAGTTTCGGCGCTACAGTTTGGCGGAAGGACCGTGGCTGGCAGCTCCGTCTTGTGCTTCCTTTGAGCGCTGCATTGGAGGGCGAAATCCGGAAGGATGCGCCCACCCACCATACCTCACTAGGCACCTTTGCAGTGTCATGTGTGGTATTGTGCGACATGAGAGTTGCTGTCAGGGGAGGTCTCCCCATCTGCGTCGGCGATTGCCCTTGTGCCGCTCTGAGAAAACAATCAGGAAGAACTCGTCTCGTCATTGAATCTGATTGCCTGAGGCCCGACTTGCCTGTGCATTGAGCGCATCGTCAACAACATTAATACATCGCTGGAATGAAGACCAGGACAGGAGTTCCCACCGCTGCAGCTGCCAGTAACATCACATGGGTTTGAAAGTTGGATTTGCAGGAAAAGTTAGCATCTGAGCCATCAGTGAGCAAAGAGGCGTTGATTTTTGCTTGCTTCGAGTCCTCTTGAGCATCCTGCGACCTTTTCACAACATGCAGGTTTGCCGATTGAGTCAAGACTTGCTACATGCAAGAGCAGAAAGAAGAGATGCCTATCAAAGGCACTTTCATGGTTGTGATAACCTTCGGGACTAAAGACTGGTGCTTTGCATGACGTGAAGGCTTCAAGACCTGCAGGACAGAAAGCAGGCCAACGAACTTGGCACGTTCGGGTGTCGAGCGGTGTCGGGTGTCCAATCGATTTCGGTTTCAGGCCGCGCAGGTCGCCCTCGCGAAAGCTGCTCGGATGTGGTCTTCACGGCCTTTACGGTTTGGGACTATGCTTCTGAATTTCTCAAGCAGCCGAGGCTATGGAGATGGAGGAAGAGTCGGCACACCCAGTGTTTCTAGTAGAACTGGGTGTAGTCAGTCGGACCGAGGATAGAGGACGATGAGATTGAAGAGACCGGCCATTCACCGGCTCCTTCTGAGACGCTGTCGGAGCATGGAGACGAGCAGGCTGCAGCCAGAAACTTGAAACACGACTTGGCCACAACGCCAGCAGGTAGTGAAGAAGCGCGGCTGGAGTGGTGCGAAGAGGTGCAGGGGCTTTTCCTTTTTTTCGTTAGTTCGCAAAGTCACAAACCTTCATGGAAAGATTCGTTATCCGCAGAATCGTCAGGATGCTTGGCAAGGGTTTGAAGAAGATTCGGGCAGGCTGGAAGTGTCGACTGCAAGCTGTCGTTATGTTGTGACGCCAGAGCTTGACTCCTGTGTTCCACTAAACCTCCCAAGCCTTCTGACGCCACCGACTCGACAATGCAAAATTGAAAACAAGTGCAGGAACCAGAACCAGCATTTGACTCACAGACGGCTCAAGGGAGTTCGTTCCTGCGACCATGTAGAGAATGTAGCTTCCAATGCACACATCACATCTGATCCAGAGGCCGCAAGGGCAAAGCAGAAAGCTTGACACCTCCTAGCGCACAGACCTTGGACCCTGAGTCCACCAAACTTGTATTATCCGTGCTTTGCCTTCCAGCCCTAGGCCATATCGCCCGTCAGCTCTGCAGCAAGTGGTACAAGGACTCTGCCGCAATTGTCGTAACGCTGTGGTAGTGTGGGGGGGGGGGGGTTGGTGCTCTTGCTGCTGCTGCTGGTGCTGCTGGTGGTGCTGGTGGCGGTGTCGTAGTCGTGGTCGTAGCCGCAGCCACAGTAGCAGTCGCAGCCGCAGTAGTATCAGCATGAGCATTGGCACTGGCAGTCGCGGTCGCGGTAGCGGTCGTACTGGTAGTGGCAGTGGCACTGGGCAGTAGAAGTAGTAGGATGAGATTGTGGAAGACGAGAAATAGTAGCAGCAGTAGTAGTGGTAGTCGTCGTCGTAGTAGTAGTAATAGTCGTAGTCGTAGTCGTAGTCGTAGTCGTAGTCGTAGTCGTAGTAGTAGTAGTAGTAGTAGTAGTCGTAGTCGTAGTCGTAGTAGTAGTCGTAGTAGTAGTAGTAGTCGTCGTAGTAGTAGTAGTACTAGTACTAGTACTAGTACTAGTACTAGTAGTAGTAGTAGTAGTAGTAGTAGTAGTAGTAGTAGTAGTAGTAGTAGTAGTAGTAGTAGTAGTAGTAGTAGTAGTAGTAGTAGTAGTAGTAGTAGTAGTAGTAGTAGTACTAGTACTAGTACTAGTAGTAGTAGTAGTAGTAGTAGTAGTAGTAGTAGTAGTAGTAGTAGTAGTAGTAGTAGTAGTAGTAGTAGTAGTAAGTAGTAGTAGTAACAGTCGTCGTCATCGACGTCGCAGTCACGGTCTGTGTCGTAGTCGGAGAGACACAATAGCGAAAAATGTGGGAGCTTAAGCATTGCAAGCAAGGACGCTGTCTCCGCAGAAGCGGCTCGGCTAGTCGGATTGCCTTGAATAAAGTTGTTGTGTGTCGAGTCAGTCAGGCCACCGACGCCCAAGCAGTTGATGGTCGAGGACAGCTTCGGATTTGTCGTGCAGTTCCATTCCAAACCAAGCTGTGTTTTGGAAGGCATCGAGTGAGGAATTGGTTAACACCGCTTCCGCCTAAGCGGGCTGTCTTTTTGATTCTTTTTGGATCGGAGGAGAGATTGGCACTGTGACATGAGGCCGAAGCGATT